AAGTCCGTTTTACTCAAGCTAGTCCAATTCTAGAGCAAAACACCTCAGTAAATAGTTTCATTTATCCATGTACTGAATGGTCATTTTAGGTCTCTTTGATACTTTAGATAGAACTTATCCAGTTTCCACTGAGCGTGATACTGATGCATTTTTCTATCCCTACACTTTCAGGTGTCTTTCCTGTTGACAAACATTTTTTTCAGTCGGCGGCGCCGCAGTATTGATGGTCAAAATTTTTCACCTCGTGCAGTGAGGCTATCAAATGTCCAGCTATACAGAGACCTGGCCCAAGCTTCTGGAGGTCAGGCTATTGTAGTCAGGAAGTCAGATCTTTCCTTGGCCACTACTGTTATAAAAGATTCATCAGCTGGTGCTGTGGTGAGACACTGAGCATTAACAGGAATTACTTAAAATGTTTGCAAATTGTGAAGGACTACATTTTGATAAGTTGGGGCCAGATATTTAACAGATTTTCTTTCAAAATTGCTTTCTCACTGGAGCTTCTGTTTCTTTGTCTTTCAGGTGACAGTTTTCCAGGTAGTAATGGATCCGGGGCGACCTGATAATTTTAATTTTACTGTTGATTCATCAGTAAGCAACGTCATCATTTACATCACCGGAGTTTCATCTCTCACCTTCACACTCACCAGCTCAGCAGGTTCAGTTCAACGATATTTTTTGGACATCAGTTTTCTAAAACATAATATTTCACAAAGACAAGGCACTTCCCACCTTGTGTCAGCTTTGCTTTATTTTTTTGGCTCTCTGGAAGTTCCTCATCTGACCTGATCTCTGGTCTCTGCTTTTTGCCTTTTGATTTCTCCTGTGCAATGCTGTTGTTTGGGCAGTCAGGTGAAGGTTAAGAATGTATAGTAGTGGTACTAGTCATAATTTTACTTTCTTATTTAGTAGTAACTGTGCAGGTGGATTGGAATTCATTTGCCTATTACAGAAGTGGAGTAATTTGCAAGTGTCTCACACCCATGAATTGCAGTAATAGCACAGTAGTAATAAAAACAACAACCGTCACAATAATAATTACAAATTTAGGAGGAGGAAGAAAATTTCATTGTCATGCTGGTAAATAATTCAGCCACTTTCCTCTTTTCAGGAGTGTCTCAGGAGTCAAGTCAGACTAGTGGTCCTCTGGCATCCTTAACAACAGTGGGAAACCTACGCAGAATAAGACTCAATGCTGGAAATCAAACGGGTTTTTGGCAAATCCACATCAACTCTAACAGTCCCTACTCTATTAAAGTCACAGGTCTGTAATATAATTAGGAAATAGTCTGTAGAAAATGTTTTCAGTGGTATAATATTTCTGACTTAGATGTGGTTTCTGTGTGCGTAAGGTCAAAGTTCAGTGAACTTCATCTATAGCATTGTGGAATTACAAAAGGAAGGTGGCATCAGACCCAAGGAAGGCCGTCCTGCTACAGGTTGACTAAACAAAAATGTATCATTTGGTTTGTGGGAAATTGAGATGACCTAAATAGTCATGAAAAATTATTACATTGATTCATGTTTCTGGGTAGAAAACTTCCAACTTTTTTGTTTAGATAAACATAAACTTTCAGGTTTAAAGAAGATTTCCCCTCAGAGGTCTTAAAAACACATGTGATGCAGGCATAATTTCAGTACTTTCAAATGACTAACTACAGAAAGGCAATTGGTGTCCATCCATATACATAAACATTGATATGATTTCTGTACTGTTAGCATTATTACAGCCCTCGATCAAATCCAATAAAGGCAACATTATCTACCCTATCCATTTCTAACAACATAACAGCATTTTTACATGTGCACGTACAGTCTAAGGATCTGTTGTAATAATACTCTTTTGTGGCTTGCTATCATTTTCAGGTGGTAATGTCACTCTCCTGGTCACTGTGACAGGAAGTGATACAGTAACAGTCACAAAGGTCACGCTCTTCGACAGTTCAGGGCCAAAGAAGTTGATTGGATCAATACAGGCATGTCATATTTTACACCTGATAAATGTAAAAGGTCAAAATTACAACTGAAACTACAACAGACCACAGCAAGCATTCCTAGAGATTAGTCAGTTTTACTCAATGCTAACTGCACTGTCAAACATAGTGTTATAAACATAACTTTTGTAGTTCTACAACAGCTTAAGAAAACACCAAGAAGTAAAAGATACATAAATAACATTGGTCTTTGGTGGCTGCTTGTTTACTCTGATTACTGATTGTTGCAACAACTAACTTATGCATCTAAACATGCATAAGGTGCTCTCAGTTGCTATCTTTCTGTTTTGCACAGTCATTAGAAAACAGCAACTTTCTGGTAACATTCAGTGAAGTCCCAGCAGGAGACTATGTAGTTCGACTGCAAGGTGAGGACACCAGCACCACATCCCGGTCTACCTCAGATACCTTCCAGAGACAAGCCTCCACCCGGATCACAACAGCTAGTCTCTCTGTTGCTGTGAGTAGTAGAGTCATATGTTGTTTTTTGAATTTCTAGAGCCAGTTTATAAACATCTTATCTGCCTGGATAAACTCAACAACCACTGTCATGTTATTTTCTATGTCATTGTATAAAAGAAAGGAGTGATTGTTTAACTTCCTAATTTCCTGCCCTCTTCTATCGCTACTTTTCCAGGCACAAGCTGACAGTATCAACATAGAGCCAGGCACTAGCATCACCATTCCATTTACAGTGTCTTCAGATGTAACTGGGACATTCACAGTGCAAGTCAGCAATGATCGCAGCTTTGGCTTCACCTCACCTGGAAATGTCAATATTGGTCCAAGCGATGGAGGCAAAGCCAATGGGACAGTAACCTTAAGTGTTCCAGCCAGCACTAAATCAGGAACAGACGTGACCCTCACCATTCAGGCACAAAACGCTGCTGCCACTGACATCAACTATGCTGTCCTCCGATTTTCTGTGGCTGCCAAGGTAAAAGAAAAAAGACTTTAGGTGAAATGGGACTAAAAACAGTGTTTTACATTTTAAAAAACGAATAATCCAAACTAAATGTATCACTGTTCTGTATTGTCAAATGCCAAATGTTTCAGTTTATATAATACTTCAACTGTGATCTGAGGAGAGCTTTTAAAAGAATCAGCTCAGTGATGAATTAGTACTACATATGTTCTAGTAGTAGGAGTTCAAAATAAGAAAAAAAAACATGATTCACTGC